AGGGGGTCGAGCATTTTAACGTGGTCGGCCGAAACAAATATGGAAGGAAGGGAATGGGAAGAGAGCCCAAGGACACAGACTGAGTGACAATGATCCTGTCCTGGCAACATTTCACACATACTTGTAGTCGAACAACAACTCACCTTCGTTCCTGGTGCAATATCTTCCGACAGATATGGAATTGGGTGGAACTCAACCCCAACTGCCACGTTGTGACCGTCTGTCATGCGGACATGAAGCAGGCGGGGATAGCGACCTCCTGAGCTCCCTGATACTCTGCTAGGCTGGCTGATGTTTTTTATTGACACTACCTGCACGTACGCACACCCAGGAAAGAAAAGACAGATAAATTAAGTATAATTAGAGACAGAGAGGCAGGCAGAGAGAAGGACTCATTTTTTTTCCAGCAGGTGCAGCTTCCCACCAACAGAGTCACCTGACAGGGCCTTCCTTTGGGGGGATGCTTCCACCACCCCTCCTAATAGAGCCCACAGGTGTTTTTATCAAAGGGAAAAAAAAAAAAGAGAAGGACTCATTAATGAATTATTACCGTATATATATCCATACAAAGGTAGATCAGATAATGGGCTATTCGAGAGACTTGAGGGGTTACTGAGGGAGGCAGAGAAAAACCGTTATTATCAAATCTTCATAATAGATCAAACGAAGACAGAAGAGGAGAAGAACGAAGACGGAGGAGGACACCGAACGATGGAGGAGGAGAACAACGAACGATGGAGGAGGAGGACACCGAACGATGGAGGAGGAGAACAACGAAGAAGGAAGCGGCGGCGGACGACCACGGCACGAAAGACAACCGTGTCATGTCCTCAGTTGGAATAAGATCGCGAGAAAGAAAGAAAGAAAAATGGAGTACGAGGAAGAGAGAAGGAAAAGGTAGTCAATAGAGAAGGAACAAAAATAGTCGTAGTAGTTATATTAGGAGGAGGAGGAGGAGGAGGAGGAGGAGGAACAGGAGGAGCAGGAGGAGGCGGAGGAGGAGGAGGAAGAGGAGGAGGAGGAGCAGGAGGAGGCGGAGGAGCAGGAGGAGGAGGAAGAGGAGGAGGAGGAGGAGCAGCAGCAGCAGGAGGAGGAGGAGGAGGAGGAGGAGGGGAACAAGGGTTTAGCAACTCGAGAGACCCTAAAGGCGTGGCGAACTGAGGGATAGGGCCTCGCCGCACTACTCAGCAAAAGTGCAAATGGAGAACGCACCTTCCGCTAGATGGTGGAAAGATGCACCCGGCAGAGTTCTTGTCTCCTTCGAATTTGGTGAGGGGTGCGCGGCAAGGGGGCCCATAGACGTCGATCCAAGGCCATCGACAAAATCAAGAATTCACCTTCTTCCGAAAGAACGTGAAACTATAACGTTCCCCCCCTCATTATTTTTGTCTTTTCAATAATGCTTCCCGCCACAAATAACTGCGATTCAAAGCTGTATAGCTATCGCTGCAGCGGACGTCAACGACGGAGTTCTTTGACTACCTTCATCCCCCCTCCGCCGACTAGAACATATGGAAATTATCGCTAAATCTAGACTGAAAGGTGCCCTAAATGCAGCTAGAATGGCCCCGTACGTTCTATTCCGGCTTTGATTACTGCATATAATCTGTAGTGCATGACCAGTCCCCAATCCAACCCCAACCATATCTATGGGCCTCGCTGCACTACTCTCGAAATTTGCAAAACGAGAGCGAATCTTCCGCTAGAACATGGAAAGATACAGCGACATGATTTTTGTCTTTTGTGCATTTCAAGCGTAGTGCAGCGAGGCCCTATAGCTCGGCTATAGCCCCAACCACCAACCTGTAGCCCATTCATTTCACTTATCTAATCAACAACACATTAAAGCACGACGATACCTTTTTTTTTTTTCTTTTAACATTGAAGGCGGCAATTGAGCCCAAGCTAATTGTAAAAGGAGAAAGAAACGAAAAAAGAAAAAACGTAACTAGAGAGGAGAGGAGAGGAGAGAACGGACCTGCAAGATCATCCGTCCCTTGAGTAGCTTGCTGGGCGTCCGATTAACATCGGCAGGGAGAATCCTGTCGCCTATTTCCTTGAAATCACGGTTTTTTGCACATGCCCGCACAGCATCCAAGGATGCAGTCCCTGCTTCATCAATCAACCACTCCAGTGCTTCCTGACGAAGATGCCAGCCTTCCCGCTCCAAACTGCCTTTCAAATCCTCCATAACCACAACACTGACGATGACGATGAGAAGAATGACGACAAGGATGATGATGATGATGATGATAATGAGGAGGAGGAGGAGGAGGATAAGAATGACGACGATGACAAGGATGGGGAAGAGAATGAGGGTGATGATCTATTGATGATGATGATGATGATGATAATGATGATCAATCAATGAAGCACCAATCACTCGAAGAATCGGGATCTTCCTTTCTTTATCCTTGCTTCCAGATCGCGATTGCTGCCAAACCTGAGCAACTGAAGAAAATCCTGCAACACCATCATCGCACACAAGAAGGGGGTCACGATATTCATTGTCACCTGCTTGTATATATATTCGCCACACCAAAAAGGACGTCAAACATACGAAAGGAGGTCGCGCACACAAGAAGGGGGTCGGGATATTAACTGTGACCTGCTTCTATATACTGAAGGTTGTCAAACATACGAAAGGAGATCGCGAATATAAGCAGGTCATAATTAATATCCCTTCTAGGCTACCAGCCGGGCCGCCCGGGTCCCGGGTGGCCAGCCCGTGCAAGGACCAAGGAAGGCCCCAACAGAAGAAAAAAAAAAAAAAGGAAAAAAAAAACTATGTTATGCAGAAAAATAAACTGAACAACTTTTGCCTCAGGGTCACATCGAAATTCTTCACCAAATTTAGAATAAAAAATAAAATTTAAAAACAATTCTTTCATTCTTATTTATTTTTATTTATTTTGGCCCAGCCGGGCAAGTGACCCCGGGCCACTCTGGTAGCCTAGTATCCCTTACTATATATATTTGCCCAAAGAGAGCCCGACGAAAAGGGCATTCTCTTTTTTCTTTTTCTTTTTTTTTTTTTTTTGGGCCGCGGCACAAACCTTCCGGACATTATGCGGACGTTCGCCGGCCGACGGAACACAATCAGGACCATCTACGGAGAGCTGTCCTTGCCCCCCCTCCTTTTCACAATCATCTTGTTCTTATTTTTATTTTTTATGATTTTATCTGTGGGTTTCGAAAAAGAAAAGCTGTCGGTCGGTGAATTTGCCTCCCTCCCCCTCTTCACTCCTTCCAGCAGCGCAAAATTATTGTCGTCCTTTTTCTTTCATGTTGTGTCCTGAAACAATCCTCTTCTTCCGTTGAAGAATTAGACCAAACAAAAAAAAAGAAAGGAAGAAGGAAAGAAAACCGTGGGCCTCGCTCCACTGCTCACCAAAATGTACGAACTGACAATGAATCTTCCGCTAGAACATGGAAAAGTACACGGACATATTTTAGTGGAGCGAGGACCCCTTGAAGCGGGGGAGGAGGAGGAGCAGGAGAGCGTGTGAGATGTATTGCATATGGCGTAAGTGTTTCCCTCCCCGTCTTCCGGTTTACGCGGGCGGGCGGCAAACGCCCCTTCTTCTTCCCGCCCTCCCAACCTTCGACATTCTCCCGCTCACCTTCGTCCTTGCTTCCCGCCAAACGAACCTTCTTCCCGCCCTCCCAACCTTCGTCATTCTCCCGCTCACCTTCGTCCTTTCTTCCCGCCAAACGAAACTCCTTCCCGCCCTCCCAACCTCCGTCATTCTCCCTCCTTCCCGCCCTCCCAACCTCCGTCATTCTCCCTCCTTCCC